AGAAGAGAGAGAGAGAGAGAGTTTTAGAGAGAGAGAGAGAGAGTTTTAGAGAGAGAGAGAGAGAGAGAGAGAGAGAGAGAGAGAGAAGAGGGAGAGATATTATGCTCGGGATCGAGAGAGGTGAGAGAGAGAGAGAGAGAGAGAGATTTAGAGAGAGAGAGAGATTTAGAGAGAGGGAGAGATTTGCTGGTGATCTAGAGGGAGAGAGAGAGAGAGAGAGAGAAGAGAGAGGGTTGAATTGGTGAAATGTTTGTCTCTCTGGATACATCCTTTTTCGCCTCTCTCTCCCTGTTCTTGCCTTTGTTTTCCCGTGTACTCACATCCCCTGCCTGTTCATATCTCTAAACATATCTCACTTTTACCCTCTCCCTCTCCCTCTTCCCTTCGTCTCATTTTGTCTGACAAAAAGACGGTGAGTTGGCCCAGCAAATCATCAACAGAAAAAACAACAACCACGCACACCTCTCTGGCCAAACGTCCACGCCACCACCCCATCTCTGGATATACGTTATACTTTCCGTTGGCCAAAACTGTCAGATTGATAGTGTCTCTGCATGAGAACGCACACCACATCTCTCTCTCTCTCGCTCTCTCGTATTTTACGGCAGCTCACGTCGTCGTCCTCTTCATCGTCTCGACGGGGCCGTGTGCGCGCGCAGCCGTTGGTTGGTACGTACCACTGGCTTCATGGCTTGATGAACCGCCTCAGCCTTCCGTTTATACATGTGTGTGTGTGCGTGTGTGTGTGGGGGGCGGAGAAGCGTGCTTGCTTGCTGCGTTCGTTGGCTCACGGGGGGTTGATCCCTTTTTTTCAGTGGCAGAGCTGCGGACGCACATTCTATAGCCCTGTCGCTTCACCTGGCTGCTACTGCTACTGCTACCGCTACCGCTGCTACTGCTACTGCTACTGCTACCGCTGCTGCTGCTGCTGATGTGGTTGCCGCTGATGCCCATGGGTATGTTGATCGGGGAATGACCTTGGACTGATTGATAGCCCCGGCCCCCCTTCTTCTTTTTCTTCTCCTTTTCCTCATCCCGCTCTGCGCTCTTCAGCTTAGGAGACCCCGCACCCAACGTTTCAACGTCTCACGTGTGCGCTCAAACTGCACGGGCATCATGTCAACCGAGGGACTGCTGGCCACGTCTGAAACGGATGAGGATGGCGCCCATTTGGCCGAAGCTCTGCCGCTAGCTGCTGATGAGAGCGTGGCAGAGCCACACCAGGACCAGGCCCCGCTCCTTCCGCCAACTGGGGATGGTTCCAACCTAGGCGCTCCCGCGGACAGCGCCGATGGGCAAGCTTCGGGTATGCTGCCTGGCATGGACACACTCAGCGAGTTTTTCGGCGATCAGCGCCACGCCGTGGATCTCGAGCAGCAACGCCTTGCCCAACTTGAACGCACCAATCCCTTGGCAGCCGCCGACGCCTACCGCGACCACGCCGTCATCCTCCTCTTGGAAGGCCGATACTATCTCAAATACCAACACCATCCCGTCAGCGTTGCTCACCAGCGCTCCTTTGCCCTCATCCACATGTCTCGGTACAACCTGTTCAAGTGGTTTGAGCTGATTGCCGCCACGCTACTCCTGCTCCTCGCCCTCATCGAAAAGCCGGCCGTCTTTACCGACATTCCCAACGGCGTCCCCATCGCCGTTGAACTCGTCCTCATGCTCTTTTTTGTCTGGGACGCTTATCACCGTGCTCAAGCCTCGGGCGGCTTTCGCCGCTGGCTCAGCCACCGCGGCAATCAACTCCGCCTCGTTGGCTTGGTAGCCATCTTTACTGACATCTTTACCAGCTTTAGTACCGACCACATTCGTCCCTTTCGCATGGTACGCCCCCTTTCACCGTCTCGACAAGCCCACCCGTGCTCCGGGGCCCAATCTCGATTGCCCATCCTTTCCCGTGTCCCACGATCTTGCTACACGCGCGGCAACCCCTCATCTTCTGGTAAACGCGCACACCACTCGATGTGGCGCTCTTAGGTGCGGCCCTTATTTTTGGTGGACGCCTATTATGCCGCCAGCATCCGTCGCGTCGTCTTGCGCATTTTCAACACCTCAGTCGGTGTCGTCGACATGTTTATGCTCCTCCTCGTTTACATCCTCGTCTGCGCCGTGGTACGTCTTGCCACCTCCTCGATGCTTCAAAGCTGGGCAGGAGCTATGGAGCGCGAAATATGGCGGCAGTGTCCGTCAGCTTTACGCTGGCACTCACACACGCGTGCGACGCCTCACGACTCAATGCCCCCGACAGATATCTTACCAGTACTTTTCGCCCACCAAGCTCTTTCACAATCAAAAGTCAAACGGCGATCCTTACTTTTCCAGCTTTGATGAGTCCTTCGTCAGCCTCTTTGTCGCCATTACCACCGCCAATTACCCCGATGTCAGCCTGTTCGCCTTTCACAACGACCGCAGTGCCGGCATCTTCTTCGTCCTGTACATGGTACGCCTTCAACACGCATGCAACCCAGAGCCAGCACCTCACGCACCATGCTACATGCATCTCTCACCATCCACTCATTCCTGTGTTGCACCCGCCGTTCCCCCCCCGCATCACGCCTTCCAGTTTTTCGGCGTCTACTTTATACTCAGCCTTTTCTTGGCCGTCGTTTACAATACCTTCTCGGATATTGAAAAGGACAAATTTCAGAGGATGCTTGTGCACGAACGTCGTGGCCTGCGGCGAGCCTTTGCCATGCTGGTCCATGTGCAACGCCTTCGTGCCCAAGCCAATGGTGGCGCCACTGCCCCCACCGCTCCGCATTTGACACCAGAGGCCGCCGACCGTGATCAGCCGTTGATGGACGACTATGAGACTGAGCGCATCTCGGCTGACACCTTCAGTGAATTTATGGCCCAGCTGCAACCTGGCCTCGCCGACAAACCCAAGACCATCAATTTGCACTTTGAATACCTCAGCCAGATAAGCCAAAGCGAGGTTGGCATGGCCGCGTCCGACAAGCCCGGCATCTCTCTCAACGCCTTTTACCAGGTCAGAAAAGCACCCTGCTTTGACCGAGCTCAATTTTGACCTGGCACTTTATGCATTGCGCCCCTCAGCTCATACCTTTTTTTTGGACTGCCTGTCTTCCTCCCCCACCGCCCTCAGTTGTATACGGCATTGACGCTGCGCTGGCAGCTAGATCCACGCGCAACACTCGCTAGCAAGACGGACATGCCACGCACCGAATGGAGCACCATTCTCCAAGAATACCGCAGCCGACGCACGTTTTCCATCAACCTGGCCTTTGTGGATACGGCCCTGTTTGAGTTTATGATCCAGCTGACCATCGTTGCCAACATGCTCTACGTCGTGGTGACCGCCTCCCTGAACAACGACAGTAATCGCGCCTCCACGCCGACCTACATTTTCTTTGCCATCTACGTGGTCGAAGCAGCGTGCAAGATCCTCCACTGGGGCCCCCGTGCTTATTTTCGCTCGACCTGGAATTGCTTTGACTTTCTCATCGTTATCGTCTCTCTGTCCGGCTTTATCCAACAATGGGTTCAACCCGACAGCTTGGGTACCCACGCCACCATCTACCGTGCGCTGCGCCTTTTCCGACTCTTCCGCCTGCGCAAGTCCATGCGGCAGGTGCTGCAGACCATGGTCTTTCTTGTGGGTCGCTTGGGCCACTACGTCATTGCCCTCCTGCTGATCTTCTACTCTTACGCCATCATCGGCATGCTGGCCTTTTCCAATACCACCTCCGAGTGTGGTGCCGAGTGTGGGAGTGCCTATGACATGGGCGCCGATGTCCCCGGCTTTTACCAGCTCATGAGCTTTGATAACATTCTCTACTCATACTATACCCTCTTTGCGCTCATGATTGTCAATAACTGGCAGTTCATCATGGTGTGTTCCCCGCTGACCGACTCCACATATATCTGTTCATTTTTTGGCTTTCCTTTCGTCGCGATGTCAGCACACTGCGCTCGCTCATCTCTCTCGTTTTGCTGCACGTGTGCCCGTATGTGCTCCGCTCTCTTTTGCCTTGCCCCTTGACAGCAAGGACATGTTGCAGCCACCTCGCGTGCGGCTCGAGTTTTCTTTGTGGTCTACATGCTCTTTATCGTAAACATTGTCAGCAACATCATCACCGCCTACCTTCTCGACGGTTTGTGCGCACGCAGGCTCTTGTCTTTCGGCTGCCATTCAGTGCCGCTTCCTTGCCGATTTCAGAGAGGGTTCTCACCACAGTACTGACTTGGTGCACGTGCCCACACAGCTTTCCTTAAGCTGCATCCACTCATTGCATCCTTTGATGACAAGCATGCGTCGGCATTGGAAGAGTTTTGCCAGGACCCTTGCAAGAGTCGTGAGGCAGACGACGATGGCGAAGGCAACGGTGGTAATGCCGGAGGATTTCAAGAGTTGCTGGACAAGGGCGCCCTTTCGGGCCAAGCAACCGTGCGCGTGCATTTCCCTTGCGAAGCACTCACCGCGCGCAACGAGTCTTTGCTGTTTCAGCACTTCCTACTCGATGTCACCCGCTCGGCCAACGACCAGAAGCCCTTTGAGCACGGCCTCGTGGCTGCCCGCTTCCGCGCTGGCTACGTACATAAGATCAAAGATCAGGAGTTTCTAGTTTTACCTGTGGCACTGGCTGATGTCTTGGTGGTGACGAGTAGCCTTGAAGCACCCGTCCTCTTCCGGCGCCGCGTCTTGCCAACGGTGTATCGCCTGCACCAAGCCTACATGGCCGGGGATGCCGAGGATGGCAGCGTATCATCGGAGCACGCCGGCAGTGAAAACCGCAATCCGCAAGCCGTGCACGCCGAGGGCGTGGATGGCGAGTCGGAGCTTGTGCATCACCTCGTGCTGCCACACGACGTGGCGATCCGCGCCGTGGCCCGCACTGATAAAGACTGGCGAAAGCTTCGACAGCTGCGCAACAGCGTGGCACGGCATGCCCCGTTTGTGTCGTTTGCCGACACGTACGACATGCATTACATGGCTCGTCGCCAACTAACGCGCGGTGATGTCAACCAGGCGCTTTGGGGCGATGACATTGAACGTTGGTGTGCCGAGGACGATGCTGATGCTTTGACTCAAGTAACGAGTTCCCCACGCTGGCTCCTGGATCTGCGTACATTGCGCCGTGAGGACCATGGTCGGCGAAGTGACTCGTGAGCGAGTCGCACGCTTAGTGTATGTGTGTTTGTGTGTAGCCTTGTTGACTAAATTGGCTTCAAAGCCAAACACAATGTGGGCACGCCTCCTTCTCACCTCTGGTTTTGAGCCGGGCTCAAGCCAGCATGACTGACCACCTCAGCAAACTAGAGATTGATCATCCCTATCCCAATCGAGAATTTGAATCTCATTGCAAATTAACTGCTCGTCGATAGTATTGTTCCTTTTTACGTGCCTTCTTTAGGGGTGAGGGGCTTAAGTGAGGGGTTCCTTGTGCTGAGATCCTTACCAGTGCGTTCATTGTGCGCGCGAGCCTCGAGCAATAGAGCAATATGGTGCGTTCAACCATTGGCAGTAAAATTGCAAGGCAACAAGAACAGCCAAGGTAGTGGCTAAGCCACGGAAAGGAAATGTATCCAGGTAGAGAAAGAAAAAAAAAGACGGAAGACGCAAACAGCCTGCTCCTCGATCAGGAATAGGGGAGGCAACACCACACGGAACGCCGCCCCAGCTCAAGGGCCAGAGCGGGGAAAGAGACCCACTACAAGACGAATAGTCAGTGGCCAAGTGAAGGGCTTTACATGTGCTTGAGGAAGGCCTTGGCGGCATCCTCAATCGAGAAGATGTTGAGGGCCTCGGTGTCGGGCAGATCGTAGGCTAGAGGAATAAGCATGGGTCATCAGGTCAGGTCAGGTCAGCACATCGGACGCGAGTAACGTGACAGAGCAAGTGGAATGCGAGTCAAGCCCACGCACAAAGATCTTCCTCAAAGACAGAGATAACCTCGACAACGTCCAGGCTGTCCAAGCCCAAGTCATTGACAAAGTGTGCCTGGGCCGTGAGCTACATGGGGGAGCAATGCAACAAAAAGCGAGCTGAGTTTCAGCACCAGGCAGAAATTTGCTCGAGCGCGCTGCGCTGCCCATCCGCCATACCTTGCTCTCGTCAATCTTGTCGTATAGCCTGAAGATTGATTGGAAACGCTCCTCGAGCTGCAGGATGATGCGCACGGAGCGAGACCAGTGAGACAACTGTCTTCTGGCATTGGGCCAGACCGTGCCCGAACCCGTGTCACCGGGATGATGTTCTTGGAGCACACAGACAAACACGAAAGAAAAGAGCGTTCAATGCCAAGAGTCTTTCAGCTTTCAGCATCGCAAGTCTCACCTCCTTCTGGGTTGGAACAGCAGCACCACCGCCGTACGCACTAACAAGTGAGGGGAAGGAGAAGAGAGAAGAGAGACAAGCAGTGAGTGTTTGGTTTCCTCCCACGGAAGGCATGAGAACAGCAGCACAGCAGAGGCAGCAAAGGAAAAGAGGTGCCAATTTTTTTTAGAGGCGTCAACACCGCAGGACTCCGGACCGAGGCCAAGCGCTGGCCGCTGCCCTTGAGCCACTCGCTCGCTGGCCCTCACATCTCTCTTCCCCCCCGCCCTTCTCGTGTTCGTGAACCAAAAGCAGGGAATGCACCTACCGAACAAAAGCCGGCACGGCAACACGAGCAGGCGTCTGAGCCAGAGCCCCAAAGCGGGCGGCCAGGGCAGGCGTCGTACGCGCAGCCATTGCGGCTGCCATCGCGCGGTTCATCAACATGGTCGCCGCCATCGTGATAGTGGATCGTTCTCAACAGGTGTTGGTACCAAATGCTGTTTCAAACATCTGTTTTGAACACATCGTCATTTCATAGCTTAACCCGGTCACTGGTGTCGAGCGCAGGCACCAAGTCGCTCTCGCTACTCACAACGACGGCGAGGCGGTTGAGAAGAACGGAAGTCTTTCAAGCGGAGGCCTCAGGGGCTCGGCTGGAGAGAGGGAGAGGGAGAGAGAGAGAGGGAGCGAGGGAGAGAGAGAGAGGCGACGCAGTCGATTACCAACACCAAATTTCAAGGCGTTGAAGGAAGAAAAGAAAAACGGGTTACACGCGAAAGCAACAGGGACGGGAGACACAGATTGGCTCGAGACCAGCGAGGGGGCAAATGAAGACAAGATGGCACATGTATAAGTTGATGTGCATCCGTCACTAGTTAACAACAACAACAACGACGGGAACAAGGACAACGACAACCGATCAATAATCAATCAACACTCAACAATCAATGGCCAGCGGGAGGGGCGGTGATCCACGCAAAGAAGGCGCACAGCACTTTGGGAAACATTTGTCCGACGAGCTACGTTTCCATGGCAAGAAGGCAACACCAAAAACCTTCAAGTATTGAGCGCGGGACAGGAGGGAGCTTGTGCCCGTGTCCAACGACTCGGAAGAGCCAGCGCGCATGTCAGTTTGCCGACGGTGCTTTTCCAAGCGTTTCCACATAGGCGGCAGCGTTGCGCATGGCCGTGTGAAAAAACGAGCGACAGCTTTGACCAAAGCCCCGCGTGACCTCGACTGTGCCAAATGATGTGATGGAAAGGAGTTATCGTCAAAAACATCATTCGTGAGGAGAGCAGCCGGATGAGGAACAGCAAAGTGCGGGTGGCGTAAAACAGCCGAGTATGCTATGACAGTCCACTCACGGAGCTGGGCAGATGCGCTTTCCGTCTCATTCCGAAAAATTTGGAGATATTTGTCGCGAGCCTGCCAGCACCCAGGAGCAAATTTGTCAAACGCAAGAAGCACCCCTGTGAAAAGTGCCATTTCCGTTATACACACACCTCGGTTTCAGAGGCATAGGGCATAAGTCGCTCTGCAAAGTGGCGGTCAATCAACGTCGCCGTAGGTAGCGAGTTGATGGTGGGCTGCTTTAGAGTGAGGGCGAGCATTTGAGCCATGATGACGTGGCGATGTCGCCGAATGGCCACATACACGTCGCCCGCCAATTCCAGAAATTCCTGCTGAACTTCCGCCCCACCCGTGGCACACAGCAGCTTCTTTGTCACCGCCACTGACAGGCTGTACTTGCAGCAAACGTGAGCCGCGCCCAGAACAAAAGAATAAAATGGGCAAAAATTCGTGCTCAGACTAGACAAACGTACCGCAGCCAAGGCTTGGGATCCGCTCCCAACACATAGCCAAAATCGACATGGAACACCTTGCCAGTCTACATCATTCAGTTTCCATCCAATGCGGGGACATGGCCCAGGATAGAGCACACGACGTAGATAGCAGATGTGAGCGTTGCATGACAAATGTGCTACCAGCATCTGCAGCGCCAACAGCATACCCGAGTCATGAGAATGTTATCGCCGTGTCGATCTCCGAGACCCAGAATGTAGGTCAACGCAGCGTACACGGCCAAGCTGTTCCACAGGCGGCGTTTCAGCAGCCCCACGGCCTAGAGTCACGAAAGACCAGTCTGTCAGCGCTTGGTCGGTTCCCAAGCACGGCGCGCACACGATGTGCCATTGCACAAGCCGAGGCGTTGGGCCATTGGCCAGAATGACGACTCACAGTGTTCGGGTCGTGATGTCGAAAAGTATGAAAGGCATATCCCCTAGACGACACACACAACACACCGCGACACCAGAAGTTAGGAGATGAGCGCAAGGTCAGTGGCTTGCTGTCAAAAATGGGCATGTCCCATCGCGGACAAGACATACTGGTCTTCAGCCATGAGTGATCCCAAAGTCTTGGCATTGTCAATCCACTCGACAAAACCATCCTCACTCGAGGTGGGTGTCACACCATAAGTAACAATGTCGTCGTCATCAAAGTCCTTGACATCAAATCGTTTGTCGGTTCGCAGCAGCTCCACAACGAGCCGAATGGTACGCATGACCGTATCATCGATTCGGACATCGTCTGGCTTGTAAGCCAGGAAGCAAGTCGATCGATCCTCGTTGAGGCGAACGTCAGAGTCGGCACGGGAAAAGAGGGACCCCTGCGAGGTGCGGGAGTCGGCACGGTCCCGCCAAGAGCGAGATTCCAAGCTGGCCGGGCTGCTATAAGAGACCGCGCTCCTCTCGAGCAACAAGGGCACAGGCGGCGTCACTGGGGGTTGGGGATGGCTTGGAAGCGAACTGCCCGGCCTGTGTTCGGGTTCTGACACGGCCCGCAGGTTGCTCGCGGGTACCTCGCTTGCAGTACCGTCCTTGCCCTCAATCAGATGGGGCGTTGTCGGTGCAGGGCTTGATTTCGAAGGAGTGGGCGCGTTGTTACACTCAGCTTCACCAGTTGGGGTTGCATCTCGCGAGCCTCGGGGACAAGCGACTGGTGTCGTAGACACGGTGTTTTCCACCAAGTCCTCCAAGTTGCAGTCCTCAAAGTCACTGCCGGAATCAGAACCACCATCCTCGATGGCTTCGAGCAAGGACGCGGTCATTTCAGCCTTTAAGCGGTCTTGGCGGATCTGTTGCTTCGCGTTGACGTCCTCTAACGTCTTTTGCAACTCGTTGGCGGAGCGCGCAATGAAGCTATGGACCATGGATGTCGGATCCTCCTCGTCCTCCAGATCAAGTCGGCTGGTCGCTACTGGTCGATGAACTGCAGCACCTCTCATGCCGGGCGAAGCATCCGCAAGTGAAAAGACGGGGATGGGCCTGTCATCCAGCCAAGGCCGCGAGGCTGGGCTGCGGGTAGTGGCAGTGGTGCAACGCGAGGAGGGCGTGGACAGCACCACGTGGTTCGGCTCGACATCAAATTTGAAGCGAACCATGCCCTTGACCCCCCCAGGGCACTGTCGTGGCACACAACAAATTGGAAGGGCAAAGGGGGTACAACCGGATGAGCTTTGTCACGACGGGCGGTGCCGGGCATGGCGAGAGCAAGAGCCCGTACCAGAATATCATCGGCGTGGATGGCGCCGAGTAGCTGGTTGGGATCATAGGGGAGCGGTATCGGAACCGTGTACAGCCCATCTTGCAGCTCTAAGCAGAAAGGTGAAGCATGTGCGAGAGTCAGTTCTTTGACGAAAGCACGAAGACCAAGTAGGGAATCCGAGCCATTCCCTGTTATGCTTCAACGCGCACGCACGTTCATTGATTTTCTGTCGCATTCGCGCGATGCTGCCCGAGCCAGCAGCACCGGCTCCATAGACAAGTCCAGCACGAGTGACTTCCCGGACATTGGCCGCCCATGTCAAAGGCCGAGTCATATTCTCAGTTGACAGATGGCCATAGTTGGGACTATACACGCAGCTCATTTTACCGCAAAGGTCCAACAGCATGCGCAAGGCTCGTGATGTGTTTCTTGGCTCACCCAGCATGCACTGCAGCAGCCAATAGAGATCGGTTCGAAAGGACTGCCATGCCCGGTGAACAGCGCGGTGATGAGGTATGACAAGTGACTGTGATATCAAATCCATAACACCGCCCACACGGATGGGGTATGTGCACAAACCTCCAGCTCTTCTGCCCAATCCAAAAGCAATGCCCAGATGGGAGGAAATTCGTCTGCATTCCCGCGCACCATGAGAATAGCCTCGAGCTGGGTAAGGATATGGCGGCCCATTTCAGCATTCCAGAACGACTTGAGTGACTCGAGACAATAATGGCGAAAAGTTGGGCTGGTCATTCCCACAAGTGGACTTAAAAGCGTCAAGGCCATTGTTGGGGGCAGTAATTGGCCGTAATCTGACATAAGGTCATGACAGCGCCTGAGAGATGCGTGGTATGTGCAAGTGAGAGATTGCGAGCCCGGTGAGTCAATAATTTGCACAGAAAGCAGGAACCGAGCACGTGACATACTCTTGGCAGCCCAAATGGTCACACGTCACATTGGAAGGAGACTGGCCGAAATGGCCGGTGATCTGTGTCATTGCCTCCTCTGGCGTCATATTGATGAGATCGAGGAGCGTCTTTTCCTGTCGGGCCGTGCAATTGGCGAATGCGCGAAGCTGGGGAGGGGTGCGAAGATTTAAAGCAGTAAGGCACAATGAGGACAATGTTGAATGGAACCAAAAGTGATACAACATGGTCATACCAATGTTGCCATCCATTCCGGGTGTCCACGCAAATAAAAGCGATTTCTCATCAGAAGCTGGCGCTCTTCGCACGAGAAATCCTAAAGCAGCATATGGGCGCGATGTCAGTTTTTTTAAAAATATTTGGCGAGGGAGGAGGGGGCAGGGCAGGGCGGGAACGCAACGATGGGTTTGGTGGGGCTGGATGGGTTTCGGCCAGCTCAAACCAACCTCGGGGCCGTGGGCAGAAAGGAGGCGATAGTTCACGGTCAGCAGCTGTTGGATGCACTGCTCTGCAGCTTGACGCCAGGTACTGTCTACTTCCTGGAGAAAAATGAGGTCTTCAAGCGGCAAAAGCGCCAACCGAAACGTGGTGGCTGCCTCGAGAACCTGCTCCTCTGCTCGTGGACCTACCAGATCGGCCGAGCCCAAACGCAGTGAGTTGGCCTAGCCCAGTGGCCTGTCGCCACACGTTCACAAAAAGCAAGAAACAAAGCAGGAAACACGGCCCCCCCCTGCCCCTAACAAAAAGATGAAAAGTGACCCACCTTGATCAAGGATGGACTTGCAGCGGTCACAAATGGGCGTTTTTTTGACGCGAGTGGTCTTCTCAAAAATGGCACGGCGGGCATAGGTGAAATATCGCGTGAAAAAGGGAATACCGACATCGTTTTCCAATTGCTGCGGGGAAAACAAGAGCACACGGCGTCGGGTATGAGGGTTGTAAGGCGTTATGTTGGGAGAACCGGCGCTGGTTGAGCGTGTGCGTGATGGTTGACTCGCTCTTACCTCGGCAAAAGCCCGGTCAAGCTGAATGTATCGTGTGCAACCCTGGCAGAGGGATGCGTTGCAGGAGCGGCACGTGTGGTGGCCGCCAATAATCTCGAGTTGCTCGTGGCAACTGTGACATGACTGACCAGACGATTCAAACCCATGGTCAGGGAGATTGTATTCAGGCAGACGTCTTGAGTTGTTTATGGGAAGCATGGGGCTGGGCTGGTACCTTGGTTGTAGGAGCGCGGTTTTTTGGGGCCTCTTCGGGAGCTGGCACGTTCAAGACCTGAGAAAAACATGACGGCGATTGTGTGTTTGTGTTGAGTTGAGCGAGCAGAGGGGAGCTTTGGCAAGGGTTGAGAAGCGCATACCTCAAAGCCGTCATCGGCGGCACAAGTGTCTTGCTTTGGCTTTTCAAGCTGCTTCTGGAGTTCGTCTGCGAGTAAGCCAATTGGGTGAGAGAGTCAAGGTCTGGGGCACGGCCGAGGGACAGGGCATAACGACACGGGCATGAGCACATGGCGCACCAACGGTCAGCGCCGCTACTCGGTCGCGGAAGGCATCCGAACCAATCGACATGACTTCTTGCACCTGATAAAGCAATGGGCCCCGCAACATACGGAGCCAGCCAATGGTGAGGCGTTGTGATTGGAGGAAAAGGCAGAGGAGGGGTGTGTGTGTGTGTGTGTTCGCGATGTAGGCTCGTCTAATATGGCCATGTTTCCCTTTGGTCGCTTGTTGTGGGGAGGCATGTACCTCCAAGATAAAGCCGGCGTAAACGACGGCAAAGAGGTCGACGAAAGTCAAGTTGTAAAAATGATGCTTGAGCAGCTCAGGTCGGCGGGTAGGGTCTGCAAAGCCGCCGTTGGTTTGGAGCATTGCGAGGCAGTTGCACAAAAGTTTAAAGCCGTAATCGTGTGCGTCGGGTAGCTCGAGCGTGTCAATAACATGATTCGGTCTGCCGGCGGGCGTGCATGAGTTTAAATTGGAAAAAAAAACAAAAAACAAAAAAAAAAAAGTCAAGAAAAAAAAAAAAAAAAAGGTGCGTGCGTGCGTGCGTGCGTGCGTGCATGGGGGGTGAAAGCGGGGGAGGTCGAACATGGAGGAGAGGGGTTGGCTGGCGTGTTTATCA